CTGGGTTCCACCGAACCCAGTGCTGGGTTCAATAACCCGAGGAAGAAGAAGAAGAGGAAGAAAAAAAAAGGAAAAGAGGATGAGCGAATTATTTTGTTTTATTTTTTAAAAATATAAATAATAATAATATGACTTGGCATAAAAAAAATTCCACGTTTAACATGTTTTTAGTTTATTTTTGCCATGTCATCAAAAAAAAATAAAAAATGCCACATAAGCGAGTTAACGATCGAAATTAACAGAAGGACTAACGGAGTGCATTTCGTATAGTTGAGGGATAAAAAAGTGCAAAAAATTATTAAAGGACCAAAAATGTGCAACTCACTAAAGTTGAGGGACCAAATTTAGCATTTAACCTATAAACAAACCAAAGAAAAAAAGAATACTGTATTACGTTTGCCCAGCCTTACCTGTGCTGGTAAATGTCAAATCTTGATGTTTTGATGTCTGGATATTTTCGGGACACATTTCACGTTTTAGAGGTGAGGTCTAGTCTCTAGTCTCTAGTCTAGACCCTTACCCCCTCCTCCCGGTGTTGACAAGAGTGAAAGGAATCCCGAGGAAGAGAAATATTTCTGAAGAAAGAGAGAGAAACAATTGTGAATCGTGCGCAAAAAATAAGGTAAAATCTCACGTTTATGTTATTAAATTTCTTTTAAATTTTTTATTAAATATTTTAATTTTAATTAAAATAAATATTTTAAAATTTTCTAAATTAAAAATTATGCAAAAAAACAAGGAACTTAAAAAGGAAAACAGGAGAGTAGATGGGAATCCATGACTGAGAAACAAAATTTTTCAAGAGAAAATACGGAAAGGCAGAGGTAGAGCGGCATTGAAGGCTCCGTAAGCTATCCCCTTGTCCTCCAGTGTGGTTCTAAGGGTAATATTCATGGCTCTCTCTTTTTTCCACTAACTCTTTCATTGACTCGCTCACTATTTTTGATTGTTTTTGAGCAAAATGAGAAAGTTTACAAAGGATTTTTTTATTTGCTTATAAAATAAATACCTAACAAATATATCTTTTATAAATAATCTTTATTAAAAATATAAATATAAATTTTAATTTAATTAATTAAAATTATTTATATATCAATAATATTAAAATATATATTAATTTTTATAAATTTTAATATGAATTAATTATAAAAAAACATATTTATTATATTTTTAAATTTATAATTAAATAAATCTTTTTATAAATAGGAAAAACAAAACCGAAATAATTAATAAATCAGAGAGAGGAATCCGAGGCGGAGAAAAATAGCTAAGTAAAGAGAGAGATACAATGATGTAGGGGTATTTATATCCGATTCAATCCGATTGATCCGACCTCAACTGATCCAATTCGATTAAAAATCAAACCAAATCGATATAAAATTAAATTGTTTGGATTATAAAAATTTAAAATCGATATAATTGGTTTGATTTATAGTTTTACTTTCAAACTGCCCGAACCGTCCGATTATAAAAAAAATCCGATTATAAGATAACTTAATTAAATAATATAATATTTTTATAATATTTCAATTTTTTTTTCTTATTTTACAAGATAATGACTATTGATTTAATTAAAAATAAAAATAGCATATCTTATATTTTTTAATTTATTTTTTTCCTTTTTTTTAATTATATACCTAAATTTTAATTCTAAATTTTCAATTCTCCTACAATTCTACTTTTATAAGTGAATTGCAACTTTATTCTTAAAACCCTACCTTCTTGAGTGGCGTGCACTTACCAAGGTTGTCTTCTTCATTTTGCTGGGTTTATTCTTAAACACAATATGGGTGTCAACACCATGGGTTAATAGTCCAGAATCAAACTTTTTGTTTCCTGTTTTGTGTCGACACGTAATTCAGGATATCAGCACTATACGTTCAGCATCCAACATTCAAGTTTCTTATTCTGTTTCAAATCCTACTTCTGTTTCAAATCCTACCTCTATTCCAATTAGGGTTTCTAAAACCTTATAAATACTCATCCAAATTCAGAATTAAAAGAGCTTAAGAGGCTAGTGGCAGCCCTCTTTTGGATATTTTTGGAGATCAAGATAAAGATTTAAGAATTTGTTTATAATTTCTAAATCTTTTCAATTTTTACAATTGTAAAAAAGTATAAGAATTTGTTTATAATTTGTACTTTTTTTAATTATGTTTCTATTTATTTGGATATTAATATATTTTATATTTATGTT